GGTATTATGCACCAAGTTCTGTAGCCTGTTTCACTTCTGTAGCCTGTTTTGTCTCTAGATTCAGCATGTACAGAACATTACACACACACACACCACTAAATAATCATGTTCCTTATTCTCTACAATTCCTACACTTTCTACAATAAATAATCATGCTCGTTATTCTCTACACTTCCTCCTGACATAATGAGATCATCTATCTAGTACATTTGGCTGTGGCGTGCGTGCGCACATGGTCGTGTGAGCACATAATTACAATCCACTCCCCATGTAAATACATGCAAAATAAAGCTCAAAACATCTAAACATTGCAGGAATAGAGCATAACATCTAATGCAGTGTACATGGTGTGCCCAAGCGCCCAAAAAAACAGAGAAGGCGAGGGAGAGAAAGAGGGTGCCTATGCCACACCTCACTCATTCAAAACAGCAGTGCTCCCTCTCCCACTGTAAGACATAATCACATGGTCTACGAGATTTACAACTCCAGAGTAAATCTTAGTTTATTTCCACAACATATGTGCAGTCTGAGACAATTATAGTCCAAACGCAACGCAAAAGCCACAGTGCGTGCAAGAACAGCGCCGCGTCAAGAGCGCGTCTCCAAAATAACCAGCGTTCACTGAACAATAGTAAACACACGAGTGCTAGGCATGCCCGAGTCATTAAGCCGAATCGATTCTGTTGAACTGTTCATTCATTTAAAACGAATCAATGACAGGATTTAAAACAGTTTTATATTAAGCGTAACAGAGCTGCTTGCGTTTTTACGTTTATCTCAGTAAGCAACGTGCTGTTTATTCAAGCTCAAGTCTGATCGTTAAAAAATACAAATGTGACAATGTAGCTACTTTGTATTATAGCCATAGTTCGCCTAAAATCTCACATACAAACAAGGAAATACTAATTTGGTGTCTTGTGCATTTTACGTATTATAGTCATAATTCATTAAAAACACACACCTATTTATCTGATAACCAGATTCGCTTCAGACCAATTCATTACAAGGAACCGATTCAAACGAACGATTTTTACGAATCACTACATGCTTGCGTTTTTACGTTTATCTCAGTAAGCAACGTGCTGTTTATTCAAGCTCAAGTCTGATCGTTAAAAAATACAAATGTGACAATGTAGCTACTTTGTATTATAGCCATAGTTCGCCTAAAATCTCACATACAAACAAGGAAATACTAATTTGGTGTCTTGTGCATTTTACGTATTATAGTCATAATTCATTAAAAACACACCTATTTATCTGATAACCAGATTCGCTTCAGACCAATTCATTACAAGGAACCGATTCAAACGAACGATTCGTTTACGAATCACTACAACGCACTCCATTCACACAACTAAGATGCCTAATCAGCGTTAAGCAATCATGATGAGACTAGTATGACAATCAGACTAAAAAGCAGACTCATTTTTATAATCATTATTATTTTGAACAATTAGATCATTTTCACGTCCGACGCGAAACCCAACATGACCTACTCCGCTCAGACTGACTGTATTTCCTCGATCCAATGTGTTGAACAGATTTTTTTCCCAAATCCATACGTCATCTCATTTGAGAGAGAAGTCGTCATGTGTGGTAATGTAGTAAGCAAAGAAAAATGGTCAATCTTTCGTTGGTTCTCCCGTTTAATCTTAATCCGATTTGAATCTCGCTCTCCGTCCGTCTGAACAGCAGTGAGCGCACAATAGAAATGAATCTAAACCCTAAAAATAACAACCCTTGATCCTCTAAAAAAATGCTCCTTGTTGGCACACAAACACATGTCCAGTGAATGAACATGCAGAAGAACAACAGAGACAGCTGCACCCACCTCGTGGTTTGAAAGGACACCGGTCCGTTCGGTCCGGGGGTGTGGACCGGTGCGGTCCGGCGATGGAGAGCCAGCACGGGATGAAGGGAGCAGGATCCGGCTGATACAGACGGGACAGACAGGTGTGGAATGATGTTTGGTCTGCGTGTCGGTGCTGGATGCTGTCAGGATAGGGACCAGCTTAATCCTCCATCTGAACGCAGACAGTCTCTCCTCGGCCACTCCACCCTTCCCTCATCCCTTCCCAGCGAGGTCCGATTCGCAAAGGAATCGCTGTTTTGAAACGGTTCTTTATATTGATTCAGTTGAACCGATTCGCAACGCGTTTGTAAATCGCGACTGTTATGAGAGGACATTTCACAATTTGTGTGACTTAGTCGAAAATACAATTAAAACAGCAGTATTTAATAAGAAATGTAGAAAAATGTATTATAAGTTATAAAATCTGCAATAGAATTGAATTACACAAAGAAACTAACAGCACTTTCAAGTAAATTAGTAGGCTAGTCTATGCCTTTTTTTACTTTTACTTTTAATTTCAGGAACCACCAACGAACGAAAATTGCATGAACCTAATAATGTCCAATATGTATATATTGAGATGCAGACAAACAAACACGAAAAATATAAACAAATAACCCTTACGAAAATTAACCATGGTTTTATTACAAAAAAACAAAAACAAACTATGGTTACTGTAGTTAAACCATGGTAAACACAAATTAACCATGGGTTTGCTACCCTAACCATAGTTTAACCATGGTATATTTGTAGTAAAACTGTTGTTATACAAATGGTAATCAATAAGCCAAAAAACCGTGGTTACTACACTTTTACTACAATAACTCCATGGTTAACTTTCGTAAGGGAACTTTTGTTAAGCAGTAGGCCTAAACTAAACAATCTAATAGGTACGACTAATAGTAAGTATTGGGACCAATAAGATCCAGCCAAATGTAATCGAACACTTACTGAGTTAACGTTCACGTTTAAAAATGACTCAACAATATTACGGCAATTCATGGTCAGTTGCAAAGTTGTTTTAAATCCATTTAGTAGTTGTTAGGTTTTTCCAAGAGGTTAGTCGCTTTACAAACTGTGACATGTTTAGCTTTAAAACTCTAGTTTTTGGTCCTGTCAGTATGTTCGCGATTTTAATATATTATATTTTATATTTGATATAAAATATAATATATAATATTATTTATATTTAATATATTATAAAATATAATATATTTTTGGACACAGGCACAATTATTATTATTTTTTTAGCTGCTGACCAAAACATATTCACGTTGCAGTTATATAATGAATACGTGTTTAAAGTGCACACTTTGATCTATCAGAGAGATATCAGGAACATTAGGAGTGGTCAACTCAACAGTTTAGTAGCCTACATTCTGAGAAAAAAGTACGCACCGGTGAGCTGAGCAACATTAAAAGGCCTGGACATTCACGGAGGACAACAGTGGTGGATGATCAGAGGATCCTCTCCATGGTAAAGAAAAACCCTTTCACAACATCCAGCCAAGAGAAGAATGGTCTCCAGGTAGGTGTGTCACTGTCAAAGTCTACAATCAAGAGAAGACTTCATGAGAGCAAATACAGAGGGTTCACCACAAGGTGCAAACAAGGCCATTTGACTTTGCCAAAAAACATCTAAAAAAGCCAGACCACTTCTGGAA